AAAAAAATGGATCCAATCCGTGATTCCTATGCACTGGGAATTAAAAAAAATATCCGGCCTATACGATGCTCAATCAAAAACAAATTCGCACACACACGAAGAACATATTCAGACTGTTTTTTTCTTCTTCTTTGCTGTGATCGGTAATAATAATAATAATCTTTATTCACCGCCAAAAACTGGCTGAATCATAGTTTTGAGTTTGTACATATCTTTATACATGTATTGGTGGAGAAAAGGTTTGTATCAATGATGCAATATACATCTGATCACCATTAAAAACCACATCTTTTCAATAATGAGTTATAATATAAAATAATTTACGGATTTGAATAAGTGAAAAATAGATCAATAAAATAGATAAATAGCTAATAGTAAAAAATTTCAAATTGCACTCGGATACAATTAGTCAAAGCGGTAGATATAAATAAATAGAATAAATATCAGAATGAATCACATTAGATCGTTCAAAAAAACAGTATTATGGTTAGACACCAATGACAAGTTGGAAAAGTGTTCATCACTTAAAGCTAAAAGTCGATTTTTGAATGTTGATCTGTTCGTTTGCGTAGAAAAAAGTTCGTGGACTAAATTTGACATTTTGCACATTTGATTAAGTGGCACAGTTGGATTGATTCTTAATAATTTGTCGTTGATTTTGAAATATTCGATATTTCTCAGGATGCGTTCATTTTGATTTAGAGCAATCTCCATTTTAAGCGATGGGCAATGAATCTTATTATGCAGTAGATCGAATATGAATAAAATTGAGGCATTTATACAGCGTCTTTGAAGTGACTGCATATTGAGCTTGTCTAGACGAGTGCTGTACGATGAAATTTTAAAGTTGTTTGAAATTTTTGGATATTCTTTGAGTGCGAACATTGTGAATTGACGCAGGCATGACTCAATTTTGTTTTTGTGTATGCCATGATACGGTAGCCATACCAAACTGGCATATTCCAAAATTGACTGTACAAGTGCACAGTAAAGAGATTTCAGAGTATGGACATCAGGAATATCGTAGCAGAATCGCTTCACAAATCCGAGTGCTGATGTCGCTTTGGCCACAATAGAATCGATGTGCTTGATGAAGTTGAGTTTGTTGTCGAAGATGACTCCAAAATCTCTTTGCTCACTCACTCTTTTAAAATTATGATTGCCGTAAGAGTACGAATTCATTATTTTGTCTCTCTTTTTCGATATGGACATGATCGAGCATTTGTCCAGGTTCAAATGCAGTTTGTTGTTGTCACACCACATCCTTAACTTGTCGATTGCTGATTGAAGTTTGGATGTATCGTTGATATTGGCGATTGATGTAAAAAGGAGAAATAACGAACGATGAACAGAAACATCGACGAAACAAAACGAAAATTGACGGTACTCGCCTAATAACGAAAAATTAGGTGAACAAGAAAAATGGAAAAAGATTTGTATAATAATTTTAAAAATAATATATTGGGGGTGCAACTTAAAAACCGGAATTTGACGCTAGATGTCATTTGAAAGTGCCATTAAACAGCTGTCAAAACAATAAAAACAAATATTTTATCTTGTGTGCAACATTTTTTTTATCAACAATGGAAAATTTTGCGAACTGGAGAAAAAAACAGCATTTGCGGGAAGTTTTACTCGGCTATTTTTTCGCAAGGAAAACTGCTGCTGACAGTCATCGTTTGCTTGAGGAAACTTATGGTAAACATGTTCTATCAAAAACCCAATGTTACGATTGGTTTAAACGCTTCAAAAGTAATGATTTTGATATCAGTGACAAAGAACGACCAGGACAACCAAAAAAATTTGAAGACGAAGAATTGAAGACATTGCTCGATGAGGATCCATGTCAAACGCAAGAGGAGCTTGCACAATCATTGGGAGTGACTCATCAAGCCATTTCAAAACGTTTGAAAGCATTGGGGTTCATTCAAAGACAAGGAAATTGGGTGCCACATGAATTGAAACCAAGAGACGTTGAAAGGCGATTTTTCACGTGCGAACAGTTGCTTCAAAGACAGAGAAGGAAGGGTTTTTTGCATCGAATTGTCACTCGTGATGAAAATTGGATCCATTACGATAACCCCAAGCGAAAACCAGCATATGTAAAGCGCGGCCAACCAACACAATCGACGTCAAAGCAAGACATTCATGGTTTCAAGGCAATGCTCTGTATTTGGTGGGATATGAAAGGTGGTATCTATTATGAGTTGCTGAAACCGGGTGAAACCATTACGGGCGAACGATATCGACTACAACTGATACGTTTGAGCCAAGCATTGTGAGAAAAACGGCCTGAATACGAGCAAAGACACGATAAAGTGATTTTGCTGCATGACAATGCTCGGCCACATATTGCACAGCGTGTCAAAAACTATTTGGAAGCAAATCGATGGGATGTCTTACCCCACCCGCCGTATAGCCCAGACATTGCTCCTTCCGATTGCCACCTATTTCGATCGATGACGCATGGCTGGGCTGGGCAGCATTTTCGTTCTTCCGAAGAAGTCAAAAATTGGGTCGATGAATGGATAGCCTCAAAAGATGAGACGTTCTTTCGACGCGGAATCCGTATGCTACCAGAAAGATGGGAAAAAGTAGTGGCTAACGATGGACAGTACTTTGAATAAAATATATTTTACATGTTCCTTTAAATAAACCTTCATTTTTCATTTAAAAATTCCGGTTTTTAAGTTGCACCCCCAATACTAATGTATTACTAATTACAATTTGAACCAAATGTCGGATATTTAAACCAAAACTAAATAACATTTTTGTTCATTTTATTATTCTTGTTTAATTACAATTTTTTCATCAATAGTCTTTATAAACGAGACACTAAGCAAACTTACTCAAACATAAAAAGAAAATGATGAGAAAAGGAAAAAATAAGAAATTTAATTGTTACATCGGTAAAAAAAATAATTGTATGAAATTATCTGACTAAAAGGCATTTTTTTGAGATTTTTTCGTTTGTTCTTTTTTTCTCACAAATTACAAATCAATCTTCGTCTATCTATTTTCGATTTTTGATGTTTCTATCAGTTTCACGGCAATATTCCCGTGGGAAAAGGCCATGGTTGAGAATACAGACACATTCGTGAACACTTTCGGTTTTAGTGATTTGTTGAGCGATATGTTGTGCGGCGATTTTCACAAATGATTTTTGGTTCGGTGCATCGAGTGCATTGTAGTTGGTCAAACTGAATGCGTATCCATGATTTTCGCTAACCATATCAATTCCCAAATCTAGACCGTATTGCAAATGTTGACGATCCGCACTGTGTTTTTTCTGGCCTGGCAAATACAAAACTTGTTTGTCACTGAAACCAACTATATTGTTGACCTCTTTGTTGTTATCGAATTTCAATTCGGGTGTTGGCGCAAGCAAATGAAGATTGATACCCATTCCTTTGGCAATTTCATTGACAGCCTTTGCGCCGAGCAATTTAATCTGGTAAATGAACATATAATATGATGATTAGTAAACAACATTATGCATGATGTTTATGAATAATTTAAAAGTTCAAAGTTTTTTCAATTATTTATAAATAGTCGTAGATCACCAAATTTTATACAATAATTGGAAACTTACCGGATTCGATGAGTGTTGTAGAACGTCTGACCGAATGGCAACAATTGATCGATGGGCATTTGAACGGAATGGATAGTTAAGAGCCTCGCGGAATGCACGACCATCGGCCAATAGACTGAGTTCTTCTTGAATTTTAATGCTTGTATCGTATAATGTTTGTAAGATTGGATCCATGTATTTACAGTTGAGCGATACAATTTTTTCTTCTTTAGGCATGTATTCCAAGTTCTTAGGCAAGTGGAAATTTGAAACGTCCAATTTTCCATCGGTTGTATAATGGCTGAGATATTTCTCACCCTTTTTGTATCCAATCACACTGATATGTGCGTCGTATTCTTTTTTCAATTGTTTTCGCAATTCGGTGACGAAATGTTGCACCAAATCGGTAAGCGATTTTGATTCAATTGCCGTATCGACTACAAAGACAATATCAGCTTTTTTACCACTATCTACTGTGTATCGTTCTCCGATTTCATACGAATTTACATTTTTGTTATCGTCAATGACCTCACATTTTTGGCAAATACTTGGCATGCTGACTGGAACATTTTGCAAGCGTGCGTATGAAGCATAGCCGAAACCAACGTTACAGGCAACTTGTTGTTTGTTGGCTGCACTCTTTACAGCATGTTCACAAGCCTCGAAATATTGTTTTGAGTCAAGAATGTAACTTGCGTAGCGCAATGATGATGAACCGAAAACTTTTTCACATTCTGGACTTTTGGCGTCATCGGAATGCTTGTGTTGTTCATCAATGCTTACGTCGGGGCATGAGTTTACCAATTTATACGCATTGACAAATTGTGAAGAACTATCTGAGATCTTTCCATTCGGTAACGATTTGGCATCGTATTGTTCGTAGCCACCGTTGCCCAATAGACCGCGCAATTTGCTAAAGTAAAAACCGTTGACAGTAATGTGACAAACCTTCAAATCCAATGCGCACAAAATTTGAACACCATATGTTGAATACAAGCTTGCACTGTAATATGTTCGCCATGCGTACAATGATTTTTCAAGAACTGGGAATTCGTTTGCTTTATCATTAACCGATAATTTTCCATTGGCAGCCAATTCAATTGATTCGCCGCTCTTGTCAACCAAGCTGATCGATTGCAATTTTTTGTCAACAATTTTAGCAAGAACAGTAAAGTTACCATCAACAATATCCTTAGCAAGTACGTAGTTACATGCAGCGCCTGGCAATGTTAATTGATCACCGCTGAATGTGAACAGGTGTTCACCTTCGACAACATGACCTTCGATCGGGAATGGTGGCACCAAATACAATGGATTGAAAGCGTATGGACGGTAAGTGAGCAACACATCTTTAAGCGATGGCAATGGTTCATGCATTGCATAATTCAAAATGCTGAGTTTCATGGTGGTGAGTTTTGGGAAGTAGTGTATATTCTGTAATTGACACATTTAATGGCATCATTTTTACGATTTGTATTTAAATATGAAAGATGAAATCATTTGCTTACCTTCTGGAACCACACAAATGGTAATCCATAGTAATCGTCGGCTGAATCAACACCCAATGATTGTAATCGCTCTTGAGTCCACTCAAGCCATTTTTTCAATGTGGCCAATGGTTTTTCAGCCAATTTCTTAAGTTCTTCAGCATCGCTAACTGGTATTCTTTGCACGAGCTATTTTAAAATGAAATCGATATACCCTTAAATATTTGTTTTTGAATGGAGAATGTCCAATCGTCATCTGCATCAACAACTTACTTCATTGTATTTCTCCTTGATGACTTCAAGTCCAGGCAACGATTTAAGATGATCGAAAATCAATTTGTAAATGTCTTCAAGTTCACGTTGAATAATTGACCATTGTTCACCAAGTACTTTGCCGGCTCCTTTTGACCATTCGCTGGCCGATTTTCCGATTTTTTTGAAATCATATTCGAATTTTTTGAGCGATTCAACCAAACGTTCGAACAAATGTGCGAGCGAGCTGAACAATTCATCGAATACACTTGATAGTGTTTGTTCAATGTGATTGTATGATTCTTTAAGCGATGGCAATATACGTTCATTGAATCCTTCATACAATTGCTTAAAGAATTCGTTGATTGTTTTTGAGACCTGTTTGAAGTTTTCGATCGAAGCACGCAACAATTCGCTAACAGGTTTGTTTATAGCTTCGTACGTGTGTTTGCTGAAAATTATATCAATAATTAATTTTGGTTGGCATTTGCAAATACACTTCGCATAACTATTATTTCATAAACACTTACAATAGATCAACCAATTCTTTGATCGATTTGTCGGCCAACAGGTCATCGCTGAAATTTTCGAATTCTTCTTTGTAGTCGGCGTTTAATTTCGAGAAATCGGGCAAATTTTCTTTGACACTGTTCACTTGTGTGGTCAATAAGTTTTTGGCTTGGTTAATACGTGATTCGAATTCATTACGAGCTTGTTTTGCATCTTCGGCAAGCTTGGTTCTGGCGCTTTTCTGTAAGTCACAAAAAAATTAAAAAAATTTCCTTCAAAAACTTTGCTTCATTCACTTACCAAGAATTCTTTGAATTCTTTGTCATTCACATCATAGTTGGTTGACAAAAGATTAGCTTGATCCAATGCGACATTGAAGTTCAATAGTGTTTTTTGATTTCCAATTGCCTTGAAGCTCAATGCTTTGGCAGCAGCAACATCGGCTTGAATTGAGAAGAAGTTTCCTTGTTTGATATTTGCATTGAAAGCATTCAATGAGGCGGTGGCATGCGAATGAATTGGTTCGGTTCCCAATAGTTTATAAGTTGATTGAATCGATGCTGTCTTTTTGGCAACATCCACTTCACCGCTACCTTTCACCAATTCTTCGTCGAATAAAACAATGCTGAAATCAACCTTCTTTGGATCGCCGACCAAGTAAACGCCGAACCGTTCTTTTGCTGTTGGGCCACGGAATTCATATGTGTAGGAGACTGCACGACGAGCAAAGCTAACACCAGCATTATCGCGGAATACATAGTTCAAGCCAAGTCCTTGACTCTTCAATGACAATTCCGATGTAAGATTGAATCCTTTTGATGACGAATCGCTATTGGCATACTTGGCAGCAACAACAATAGCTTGATTTGTGTTTTTAAATACGTCAAATGTAAGGCTACCGCTAATCAAACGTTTATCAGCATTAAATTCGGATTCACCGCTAATTTTCAATTCTTTGACCGATGGATGACTGGCGACTAAAGCACCGGTTGCAATGAATGCCATTTTGCCGGGACGTTTAAGTTCACCCTTGAAACCGATTGTACTATGTTTGCCTGGATTGTTTTTCTTATCCAAGTAGCTGGTGATAGTTGCTTGATAGACACCGATAACATCTTTTGGATAAGCAAATGTTGCTTCAACGGCAGCCGTTCGCTTTGGAATGCTAAGCACAATACCGGCCGTTGTTGGTTTAACGAATGCATTGAATTGATATTTATTTTGATCGGCCGATTGGATTTGTGTATCAAATGTATGTTCAATGAAGTATCCATCACGTTTGGTATCTGCCTTCAAGTTGAATTCATGAGGAAAACCAAGTGAACGCAAATTAAATGTAACCAATAAATTGTGAGTGAAATGTTTCCAATCAACATCGCTTAAAATCGATGTAACCTTTAAGTGAACGCATGGTTTGTCCGATTCACAAATCGTTTGTTGCAAATGGAATTCCCGGTTGGTTGCTTTCAATTCGGCTTGAACATTCTTTGGACCAATTTGACCGTTGAACACCAGCTAGATTGAAGAGATCCATCGATTACAATCAACAATTATTAATAAGAACAAAAAAATGGATGTAGAATTAAGATACTTACACTAAATCCGGTTTCGTTGTTTTCAGCTTGATTGAATGTGCTGCGTACAAATTGGAAGGTGAGTGCGCTTGATTTATCATACCAGTTAACATTGCCTTTGCCTTCAATAGTGCTCTTTCCTTTTTCTTGTTTCACCGAATAATCGGCCGTTCCGCTAATAATGTTCCTATTTTGTTCAGTTGCACTGAATTCGATACCTTTGTTATTGCCACTTTGTTTTGAATGAATGTCAATGTGCAATTTATTTGCTTTCAGCGCGGCCGAATCCAAATCAATGATCAAACCAAAGTTTTCAACGCTCTGATAAGACAATTCAACGTCACTAGTCAATTGGAAGCTATTGATATTAACCAAGCGTACGCTCAATTTATGTTTGCGATCAGCAATACGGCTTACAACAACAGCGATCTGTGAGTGTTTTTCTTGTGGATAATAAACATCAAGAGTGAACGATGGGCTCAAGTTTGAAGCAACAACAACATTTGATAGTTTGTATTTTTTGTCAACGATCTTCAATTCAACTTCCGTTTGATAGGCGTCTTCCTTTCCATTTTCTTGTTTCACCGAATAATCGACCGTTCCGCTAATAATGTTCTTATTTTGTTCAGTTGCACTGAATTCGATACCTTTCTTATTGCCACTTTGTTTTGAATGAATGTCAATGTGCAATTTATTTGCTTTCAGCGCGGCCGAATCCAAATCAATGATCAAACCAAAGTTTTCAACGCTTGGATAAGATAATTCAACGTCACCAGTCAATTGTAAGCTATTGATATTAACCAAGCGTACGCTCAATTTATGTTTGCGATCAGCAATACGGTTCACAGCAACAGCAACCTGTGAGTGTTTCTCTTGTGGATAATAAACATCAAGAGTGAACGATGGGCTCAAGTGTGAAGCAACAACAACATTTGAAACTTTGTATTTTTTGCCATCGATCTTCAATTCAGCTTCCGTTTGATAGGCGTTCTCCTCATTTTTGAGTGCTTTGAATGAACCATCCAATTGTACCGCACCAGCATTACCGTATTTAAAGTTTGCATTGTAAACAGCATGGACGGCGCCGTATTCATCAATGCCAACGTTTAGTTCAACTGGATGTGGAACAGAGCCGCTGACTTTAACATTGGCCAAAGCTGATTTGTAACTACCTTTTGGCAAATGACTGAAATGTGTGTCGACAACAATTGATTTTGAATCAAAATCGGTGAGTGTAAGCTTTTGGTAAACATCAAACAATCGTTTTTCGCGGTCTCCATCTTTCAATGTGTAACTTAATTCAACTGAACGTTGTTTGCGTCCACCCTGTGCAATGGTGTCGGTAATCTTAGCGACACTGTATAAGGTTGCCTTTGCTGATGTATAATCTACTTGACGGTCCAATGTACCGACAATTTCACGTTGTGTTGGCAAACGCAATGTGAATTTGCCATTTTGTTTTCCATTCTTGAAGCTACCGGTTTTGCTTCCATCGATTGCAAAATGGAATTTCTCGCCGTTAATATCGACTTCGTTGACGCTTTCGAATGAATTGCTTGGATATTTATTCTTTGTTTCGAATACCACGTGACGTGAATTATCCTTTTCGAAATTGTAGTAGAAATCGTTACGCAAATCGAATTTATTGGCGCCAAGTTCGTAATTGGAGACAACTTTAACTTTACGATCGAATTTCTGGAATGTTACAATGAATTCCGATTTACCTTTACCTTTCAACGAATTGTAATCACCGTGAGCCGATACAAAATCTGGAACACTGATATCCAATTTTGCGGTGGTTGGATTGTTGACATTGCCTTCATTACGATTGAGAACGGCATTAAATGAAATGACTTCTGCATTGTCGGCCAGCAATTTTCCGTTGCTTTGAGCATTCTTTGGATTGAGCACAAATTTAAAGTCCAATTTCAATGGTTTTTGTCCACGTCCAACTACAATAACACCGTCGGCAGCAAAATCAATCTTTTGAGTGCTGAAATTGTTATCGAATTTTGCGTTGACAGAAACACTGGCTCCGCAACTTGATTTCAATTCATTTTTAACGACCGATCGTTGAGCCGCATCATCGATGTCACGTGATGATATCAATTCAAAATTGTGATTATTCACAGCTCCATTGATTTTAATATTCCAATCGCCTTTGCTCTTCTTGTTTACATCAGCATTCAATTTTGATGCTACTTCACTCTTGGCATAGCCACCAATAAATTCATAGTCAAAATGTCCCGCACGGTATCCACCGTTAAGCACAAGTTTGATTGGGATTGGTGATATGATGAGCGTGTTTTTGCCAGCAATGCTAACGTATTTATCGTCCTTTTTCTCGAATTCATAGTCGGTGGTTAATTCAATGCGTTTGGTTGTCGATTCCAAGTCACGGCCATACACAAATACAAATGAGTTTTTGCATTGTTTTTGACCACGTTTGTAATGGAATTTCACACGACCGTTGGCAAATTCAGCAACATCACTCAAAAGTGATAAATCCAAATCCAATTCTTGGTTTTTCGCAATAACGTTACCTTTAATATTGGCCGTATTATCCTTGTATTTAACATCCATAGCTGTTTCAAAATGTTCAAGTTTCTCATGTTCAAACCATCCATCAAACACCAATGGACCAAATTTTCCATCACTTTGTGCTGGCTCAATGGTCAATTTTTCGAAATTGTATCGCATCTTCGGTGGTTGTGATGAATCGACAATTAGTTTTCCGCTCACTTTGTATGGAATTGCTTCTGGATTGTTGTATTCAATGATTGGTGTGTATTCACGACGTGTACCTGATCCACTCTTTCTGAAACCGAATTTCAACAAATATTGCAAGGCATCACTCTTGGCTTGTCCATAGATGGTCAATTCTTTGTCGTCATTATTGACACCGATTTCAGCCTTTACCGATTTGTACGGTGATACAATTTCTGCGCTTAGGTATGCCTTTGGTTGAATGGCACCTTCGAATTTAACCGATACTTTACGTTTGTCTACTGATTCGGGTGTATCGAACACCAATTCTAATGTCCGTTTTTGTTGAACTGAATCGTCATATGCGGCATTAAAATGGTATTGTTTTTCAATTTCAATATAAGCCGATGCATGAACTGGCCCATTCAATGGGAACAAACGACTGTTTGCCAATTTTTCGCCTTTTTTGTATTTCAATTCATAGCAAACGGTTACACCCAAATATTTTTGGAATTGATCGAAACAATCTTCGTTATTGCTAACATCTTTCCTGTGAACAGAAAAAAAAAACAATTTTGGTATTATTACTTATGTAATCCACATTTTTCCCATTTAAATTTGAAGCTAACATAATTTATCAACAAAACGAACTTACTTTTGTGCCGATTTCAAATTGTGTGTAATGCTTGGATGGCCCAAGTTTTGTTGGATAAAAACGATATCATGGGTAAAACTGAGAATTTCTTGTTTTTTAAGTGGAAAATCAACTTTAACATCAACGCCTTTGCCTTGGTTCAATAGCTCGAATGACAATTGGGCACCAGTAGCACTGTGCACATTGCTGGTAACATTGACACCGGTCGTTATTTCATAACCATCAACGCTAATAATTCCAGTCAATTGAACGTTGTAACTTGGCGAAACGCTGACCGCGAATTTCGTGTTCTTTGGATTGGCTTGAATGTCCTTAATGTCAGCCTTGAGTGAAGCTTCCAAACGGAACGCACCCGCACCTTGTGATTGAATCTTCAATGGAAACCCGGAACTGGTTGGGTAAGAGAATTCAGCATCAAGGAACAACGCGTGAACTTCATATTGTTTCTTTTTGCGTTCTTTGGTATCTTTCAAGAAGTTTTGCAATAAGCGACCGAATTCTTTTGTGAAATCTTTGCTCTCTGATGGTAGATTGTCACCCAAACTTAAGAAATACAATTCCGAACCGAACATTTTCACCGAAAAATCAAAATCAACATCGCGACCCGATGAACCGACATAATCTTTTCCGAAATTGTCCGCATCTTGGGCAATACTACGTTTGGGACGATATGCTCCACCAGTAACGTAGTCATGGATTTTTGCTGCGATTCAAAAGGGGAAAAAAGGGTAAATAAATTATCGTTATATTTATTATTTTCTGTTTGACATTTGTTCAAAACAACTTACATAAAGCCTCCTGTTTATTCAATGTTTTGAAATATCCTTGGGGACCGAAATAACGCTCCAACACCAAATCGAAGTTCTCTTGACGTCCGCTCAGTTCGAAAATGTTGAAACTTGTGCCGAACAATTCACCGGTTAAATTGGTGCGAAGTGAACGTGGTGTGAATGATTTTTGCGAGTAAATTACGTTGCTGTCAATGCTACCACCCAAACCAAGCGATCCAAATTCATAGGAGAATTCATGATTGAATGAGAATTTACGAATGTCATTTGGGAATTTCTGTGATGCAGTAACATCAGCAAAATCTTTACGGGCCTTTTCTCGGTACAAATCGGTTGATGCGCGCAAATTTTTCAAATGCGAAACAATGAATGAGCCAACTTGATAAACAGGTTCGTCATCCAATAATTTTGAAACTTCATCGGCAATTTCTGGTGATGAACAATCGACCAAAGCTAAATATGCTTCAATACGGAATTCCGAATCGTCTTTACGATTTTTCAAGAGATTCAATGCAGCCGATTGGATTTTGTTGTCGCATGAGGCCGATGCAAATGCTTGAATGGCAGCGGCACGAACACGTCCGGCATTACCTTCACTTGCACATTTCACCAGTTTATCCAAAAGTGATCCAGTGATACCTTTAGCACCACGTAATCCCTTCAAAATGGCAACAATCATATCTTCTTGGTGACGTTTTGCGCTTTTGCAGTTACCCAATTTGTCGGCCAATTTATCAAGTAATTTCACGAGATCAGCATCATTTTCGTTACCATCTTGTATGTATTTTTTGACCAAGTTTCCAATGCTCAAATAACCTTCTTTTAGAACGTCCTTTTCGAGCAATTTCTACATGTTTATTACAAAAAAAAAAAAAATAAAAGAATCAAATGGATCTCTCCAATTTGCGGTGAATGAATTAGAAGAAATTTGAATTTACCGTTAAAATGTTGATAGTTTCCTTGTTAACCGATGTAGCCAAATTGAATGAAAGATAGGCCAAACGTTTTTCATGAATTTTATTATTTTCCAATAGCGATGCGATTGCATTGATCGACTCAGCGCTGGCAACACGGAAAACAGCATCCAAAAATACTTTGCGACAAATTGGATTGCTTGCATCTTTATGCAATAGTAAAATGTCATCCTTTTTCAAGTAGCGCAACAAACGAATGGTTTCGGTGAATTGGCCAGCAACTTGAGCACCAACAGTGTTTTTACGTAGTTCATATGTTTTGCAAATGCCAAAAAGCGATTCTTTTGCGGTTTTGTAGTTAACGGCTTGTGGTTTTTTAACGCTTTCATAGATCAACGAACGTGGCACTGAAACCGATAGTGTTTCACCGCCATTTGGTTTTTGGTCTTTCAATCGGAATGATGTGACAACACGTGCACGAACACCGGCCTCACCATTTGAAAACGGCACCAACACATAATCTTCAACAACTTGAGCCGATTCAACGATGCCATTGCGATTGACACGAACTTCATTGGTAAAATCGCCGGTCAATAATGGGGTCGATTTTATGTTGCTGTTTTCATTGAAAACACCAGTAATAATACCACTGACAAAGTTTTCACGGTGACTGCATTCGTTCAAGTCACGAGTTTTGGTAACAACATATGAACCATCATCGTTCTTTGTGACGGCATAGTTTGTTTGACATTTACCGAAAATATCGACCTCTTCAGCGGCTCCATCGTTCAATTGCAACAATGAAATCAATGCTCGTTTAATGTTCAACGAAACATCGGAATCGTCTGGGCTGGCGCAAATTTCCGATTCCAATTTATCGTCGGACAATGTGAATTGGACGATTTTCGATAATTGTAATTTGCTATTGAACTTAGTCTTGCCCTTATCCGGTCCAATCAATGTCACATCATGCAAATCCAAACCATATTGGCAATTTGAATAGCCGTGCACATGAGCTGTACCCTGAACTTGCAACTGAATATCTTGGGGATCATTTCCAGTTAGTGAAATTGATACTGTACTTTCGAAATTATAACTATACACTTGGCCGGGTTGATATTTTAATTTGCTTCCTTTGCTTGCTGTTATTTTTTATTTTGGGTCCGATAGAATTGGGACAGAACGAAGAAGAAAAGAAGAAAAGAAAAAAAAGAAACAATGAAAACAAAATCTATAAAAACGATAATACATAGAAGAGTAGTCCTTGATTAAAATCGCGCAATAATCATTCGGTCATTCTTTTAAACATAAAATGTGTTCTTCTTCCAATTAAACTCTCTCCAAATGGTTTTCGAATTTAAAAGAAAGTCCTCTAATCGGTTTGTCTTATATTCGAGTCAAATAGCAAGAAGAAGTGATGTAATTCAAAACAATTCTCATTAAAGTAACATTGAAACAGATAATTTTGAATTTAAAAATAATTCACATTGTGATAAAGAACTGTACAGGTCGTCAATAACCGATACGAGAAAAAAAATCACCACCATTTGAAAGTCTCTTTCATTGAATTCGGAACAAAGAACACACGCTCTGGCATTTCGCACATCTGTTTTTTTTTTCAAGAAGATTGCAATATCTAATATAGAAAATCAAAAAAAAAAAAGAAATAAATTGTTTATGATACTCACTTGATGGGCAACCTTGTTTGCATCCATTTCCTTTAAAATAAAATATAGAGAAAACAAAAGATTAACAAAATGCGATTAAATAACAAATATTTAATGTTGTGTATGTTTTTTTCTCTTGTTGTTCACAATCTCGAAAATTAATATAAATAACTTCAAAAGTACATTGAACGAAATGAATTGTGAGCGAGCAAAAGAGAGAGAATGAAACACAGAGAAAAAAGGTCTCATTTTTCGAAAACAAAACAATTCGAAACTTATCAATTTTCCCTCTACTTTCCTTGCATTGTCTCTTGTTTACGACCACTTTTTTCCTCTTTCTCTTTCGCTATTTACATGACGTTTTTTTTTTATCTCCCTAGCATGTGATTTTTGTGAAATATAGTTTGTCAACAGAATGAGCAAAAAAGCAAGAAAAACAAAAGCATTACAAGGAGAATGTGTTTTTTTTCGAACAACAATCACAAGTGAAATTTTGGTTTAAATGGAAAAAAAGTGAACGAAAATTAAAACTACGTAATTTCTTAAAAGCATTGCATATCATTGTTTTAACATGAATTATTTTGGATATTTAAGGACGTTTTCTTCGTCAAAAACAACAATGCCATATGCTTCAAAGTGTATTGCTATTATCTTGTGTGCGTTTTTTCACTGCTATTATAGTATATATCCGCTTTTCCCTAAGTGAAATTCAATGTTATATCATCACATTGTAATCTTGTATGCATGCATACTGCAATTGTAATCTATTGCTAGTTCTTTATTTGCCTGCGGTTTTTCATTCGATTAATTTTAATTTCATATTCATACTTGATTTTGTACTTTGTACATGCTAAACGTCATAAACGGTACTAAGGTTCACATAAGGGCTAGAAATGTCGCCCCGTATTTCACAGCACAAACAGATAAACATTGAAATTATTCATTATATAGTTGAACTATCCGAAGATGTAAACAATTTGTTGACACTATTCTACAAACAGATTTTTATCATGAATGGAAAAATTATTTTTAATTTAATGATCGCCTCGTTTCATGTCAATCGTTCAAAGTACATGCAAATCATCTCAAACGAACAATGAAATAACTGTAATGAATCAATGTAAGCTAAATATTGTGAGAAGATAAATCAAGAGCATTACAAAGCGGCATTTTTTTTAATTGCAAGGCGGTTACATTTTTCTCATTTCAATTCAAAAATGTTGATGTGGTCGATGTACGATGTGTCAACGACAACGAATAACGACAATGCCACATCAGCGCGAACTTTGAATTGAGCATGCTTTTGGTATGGAAATCATTATTGAATAATCAGCGATCAGCACTTATATCTTTCTCTCTTTTCTTAATTTTTGCAGAATTTCGTTTTTACTCAATATTCTATTTCTTATCAATTAGCAACAAAGTACAAAATAGTTTTTGTATCTGTGATAATGAAATGTCGTTGATTTTCGTATTATTATTATTTTTTCGTTGCCATTCAAATTGTTGTTGTTGATAATCGTAATTTTTTCCATGTGGCCATTCCGAATACTTTTCAACAAATGAATGCTCTTATCATTCGTCGCAAAGTTGAGTGAACTATGATGGCAAATTTGGTTGACACAAAAATCAGACAATTTATTGAGCTGACTGATCAGCACAGCTGATACGAATTTGCCAGCTCATCGGTACACTTGAATTTTGTGACAACAACTAACATTGAAGAAACAAATTGTTGTTGTCATCAAAATAAAAGTGTACCAATCAAAGCTGTCTAATTCGGATCAATATATTGTCCGTACATTTTCGATGAATATTATCACATAGATTTGATTATGCACGTGAGAGAAAAAGTTCGAAAAACATGCTCATTTTATCAAGTAAAGTGAAAGAAAAAAAATGGATGGATGCTTGATTATCTTGTGCACTTTATGCATTATCGTATGGCTCGTGGTGGTAAGCTACGAAAAACAAATGACAAATCATCACATCGAACATAGAGATGGGGAAAATTGTAGCTGAAAAGCACATTTCATCGCTTTAACCACCTTATTTACTTATACTTTATTCAAATGCTTAATTAGCTGAATTCAATCATAAAATGATAACAAATGGAAAAATAATAAATTTTGTTGTTCTCCAAATAATTGATTTTCTCTCGTTTTTCATTTTGATTTTGTTGTTGTTTTGCATTCCAATATGCATGTTGTTGCTGTTAACGATTCATGAGCGTTTTTGTTTGTTCATGCTATTCAGCTTTCCGGTCGTAGTAATCAATTTTTGATTTGACTACACGTTTTTTTCTCACTCTCCCTCTCACACTTGGTCTGATATATACGGAGGAAAAAAAAACATGAATGATATACATGATTGCCAAAGTTCGAAGGTTTTTCATGTTGCAGCTAAGCGAAATTCTGATTACATTGCCGGAGAGAGTGTATGAATGAAAAAAAAACTTGATGATCCATGTATTGTCACAAAATATCAGTGCGCACGAGTTTGTGTGAGACCGAGCAAACTGATAGAAACTAAGAAAACAAATACTTGAAATGTGAAAAGAAATGTACATTGTATTCGATTTTTTTGAACTTCTATTTTAAAAAATTAGAGGTCAATGAAATATCAACGAGTTTGTTTTTCGCTATCAGTGCAGCTTCCTTTTCGGGTTTGGTAGTTTGCAATAACTGATTGAAAGCAGACCAGTTGTTTCGAAAATATTTTCGGACTTATCGTACTTGTGATAAGAAAAAATCATCGTGGCGGAACAAAATAAGCTCATACAACAAATTCAAGTTCATGGATTTTTTTTTTCGTTTGATTACCAGAATGAATCTAAACATAAGTCGGATTAGAAACTTTAAAATTGACTCAAATCACTTAAAAAAGGGCGATCATCGTTTGAAATGTCTTAATTTGAAATATCCTAAAAGCCGACATTGGATAATCAAAAGCAATTTGAATTTCTATGCGACACAATGAACGGAACGAATTCTGTGTTATTCAAAATGAGTTTTTTTTTCTTTTCAAAATAGAATGATCGAGATGGTTCCAGATGACAATATATTCTCTACTTGAGGTGATTCCAAGTTGGTATCGCATATCGTGAGATGGTTCCCAAATGGTTAGAGGTTCTCGAAACGATCACGATTTGTTTGTATTGCTATTTATGTATTATGCTTCTCTACACTTAACAGCGATCGCACAATAAACCAATTTAAAATATTAGGATATTAAAATCGGGCCTGTATATATGAATGTGAAGAAACGTGTATGGAGCGCGAGAAAGCATTATACACATATATATATATAAATAGTACGCTTGAGATGCGTATGCGGAATCTGTTACCGGATACTTTATTGTATTCAATTGGCCACTCTATTATTCCAAATTGAAATCACGCCGAAAATACACTCAGACATGTGTAAAGCATTGCAAATGCATACGACACCGATGAAAGAAACCAACAACCAAATAAATAATAACATAACATCTCTCCAATATGAATTCGTCAAATTCACGACAAACTATCAACAGCGACACATCAATTGAAGCGATACCATCTCAATTACCACAAAATATGATTTTACGTTTTATGGCATTTAAAATACAATTGCATATTTTCTTTTCATTTTGGGTTTGGAGTTTTTCATTGGATATTTAAGTGCATACCATTAAAGAATATGAAGTATGTTGACTGACAGTGATTGCTGTGGGTACACTATGTTTCAACGTTTAGACGAAATTTGGAAAATTACAAAAATAAACTTACCTTGTTTATTTAGAGGCGCCGCAAAAATGCAGTTGAAAAAAACTACACTTATTAAAAATAATGTAAATTTTAGCATTTTAGCCGAATTTCTTTCCTAATTTGCCTAAAAAGAGTAGAAAAAGAACAAAAATGCAACAATCAATACAATATGTCTATTTCATTATGACACAAAATCAATAATAAATTCATTTAAAGAAATATCCGGAGTTTAAAAATAGTTTGAAACGAAAGAAATAACAAACTGTGATACAAATTTCGAGCAATTGTGTCAAAAAAAATGTGAAAAACAATTATTTAAATTTATTTCAAATAAAAAATCACTGAAAATCAAGAAAACACAATATCAAACAGATTATATTTGCACCATCAGATTGAAGATTCACACTTGGAAATCAATTGAAAAAAAAAAAAAAAAAAAAAAATACGATTCTTCACTAACGACCATGATTTTTCCCCTTCAGAAAACCGTTTTAAAATTTAAATAGATTTAAAAAAAAAGAATGTTTATACATCGTTTGAACTCACTTTCATCAATTTTTGTCGTCGATGTTTTGTGTGCGCTTAAGGAATGAAAACTGAAATGCTGACCGCTCCTTTTTATATTTGATGTTTTGTAATTGTGTATACTTTATTTTTGTCTTCGTTGTATTGGTATCGTTCCGTTGGTTATCAATAATGAAACATCTGTATGTTGAATGATGTTATTTGTTGTTTTCCTATTTTTCAATGACAAACACTCCACAGTAGGCACTTGCATCGACATACAGACGATCGTATATTGTTTTGAGTACCACAATTACTTTTCTGGGCATATGTACATCTCTTTCGATCCTGGCATATGAACGCAACTCAATCATAGTACATTTATGTATGTATGTGTGTTGCACATAGCTCTGCTCTTTGTCATTCTGTACATACACACCGTCAATGCTTTTAAATTTTAAGTGCATTGACGATTTTTGTTCCTTTTTCGGGTTTTTTCACATTGCCTAAAGAAAAAAAGAAAAGAAAAAGAAGATACTATCAACACAAAAAAATGCATGGGCCAAATTAATCCTAGTGTTGTTTGTTCAAAAAAATGTTCTAGTTGAAATCAAAAACCACCAATCAATTACTCTTTTTCTCTTTGTTTAGATTTGATTTTCGTTGATCATATCTTTCCTGTTTGAAACAGCCAAACCAACCAGTAAACCGTATCTAATATTCTTTTTCAATCTAGGTTAAAATCAATCTCGTTTAAAAACTATGACAAATACATTCCGTTTGATACAATGAAATATGATTATCAAAAAAAAAAAAAACCATTTTGTAATATGAAACTTGTGCAAAATGTTACAAAATATCAATTTGTCAATGAAGCATTTTAATCGATACGTAATCGTATTGGGTAGCCTTTTGACTTATTTCAATGCACCAACTTATGAATTTTAGTTTTTTTCTTGTTTCGTTTGTCATTATTTTGCCCTGTGTTAATTGTACATTCACCATATTTTAGAGAAACACAGGCATTATTCAGCATTTAGATGAATAAAACAAAATCATTTACGTTGTGATAAGAGTTTCTTTTCTTCTCCCTTTCCTCTTTCTATCGCTTACGACATTTTTCGTAAGCGTTCGTTCTGAAATTTGCATAGTAGTATTTTTCTAACTTTTGACTCTTTTCTCTGAGAATCGGTATTGATCACATTGATAATAAAAAAAAATTGATGACAGAATGATCATTTAAAAGAAGGTTCGTAATTCTTGTAAAAAAAATGTTTGGTTAGCATTTTAATGAAACAGAATCAATCTGTTTCCAAGTGATTAACTTAACATACACAGGAGGCCAAAAGTTCAGAGGCACTTACTATTTACCATGAAAAATGATGTTTTTCCAGTTTTTACCAAATATCCGCTCATGAAAAAAAATTCGAAGAATAAAACAATTTTTGTGTCAACTCAAACTATTCATTCAAAAGTAAGTTGGTGAAAATACTTTTGAATACCAATATTAAAATTCGTTTTTAATATAGCGCGCATAAGATTGTGTTTGGTAAAATTCGTTCGTTTGTGTGAAATGATAAAAGTGCCGAAACTATTGGGCGGCAGTGTATGTTTTTCTTGTACGAATAAATTTAATTTTTGTATCGTTTAAAAATAAATCAAAAAAATTATTTGATTGTGTCGTTCACTTTTGATTCGATTTTCATCTTATTAAACGAGAATATATTATTTTCTATACAGTGAAAGAAAATGTGAATTTCATTTACACAGATTAATGATAACAATACATTGGCCGTTATAATCCCAAAATGATAATTGCTTTTTTTCTTGTTGTATGGATTCGACCATTCATTTTTTCATGCGTTACATTTTTTTTTATGTGGATTAAAATAGCTCCTTAGATTTGATAAAAATATCGTTAGTTGCTTCTGTTGGTCATAAACAGTAGAAATTTAATAAATGGGTATTTGTTTTGTTTTCGCACATTTTTCTTCCAGAAGTACTTTACTCAAACTTGAAATTAGATCGGAGAATGGATTTTTGCTCGATAGAAATCAATTGATCATAGTCATGGTATGCATATTTCTTTGTGGCAGTTCCACTGTAATACAAGCAAAAGCAAATGATGTGTCACTTGTTCGAACATTCCATATGGTTCTAATGATCGTGAATTTCGATGAGTTATCACAAATGACATGCTTGTCCTAAATCGTAATAAATTACCGATTTTTTTAACGATTGCATTGATTAAATATTTATACTAAAATTAATGTGAACGTCAATCCTGGTGATATAAAGTTCATGCAACTGAGCATTGACATCCATTCGTATTTAATTTTTGAAATCTGAACAATGAACTGCAAAATATTATCAATTACATTTCTGTATTGTTCTGTTTTTCATTTAATTTTCAATCAGCCTTACGATAAGTGCATCGTTGTTCGTTTTGTTTCGACCATTCATATCAAGTTTGCCATTCAATTTTAATGGAAGAATAAAAATGATTTTATTAAAATAGCAGCACAATAAATATAATAATTCGCTTTTGCATAAATTGAGAGGACTCTGGATTTTCTGGTCGACGATCTTCACAACGAATTTTTTTTGTTATTGCAACATGTTGACCCGTTTGATTTTGTACGTTGATATTTCAATTAAATTCATTCCAATACAGCGATCATATGCAAACAAGCGCCAGTACAATGTGTCACAACTTTAATTTTTTAATTTTCTTATGCTTTAACTGAAATCAACTACATTTGAAATATAAAATATGTAGATATGTATACATCTGGGCGCTTTCCACAAGTGTTTTTTTTAAATTGAACATTGGAAACGCCTTTCGGTTTACTTACAAAGAAACAAAAAGGAAAAGGGGATTTTTTTGTTCCTTCGAAAGATTCCTTAAAATTGTTCCTTAGTGTGAGAGGTTGAAAAGAAACATGGCAATAAATGGGCAACAATAAACATGAATTGAACAATGGAATATGTCATCTATAAGATTGTTGTATAAGTGATGAGTTTTTCAATGAAGAGTTCGTCTGAGTTCGAATAATTTATAACAGAATTTGATTTTTTTTATAGATTTAATATTCAGGAAGTAAAACGAAACAGGTACGAGACATTTCCTACCTTGAA